AGTCTTACACTGAGTTTCGTTAAACAGGGCGTTCTAAAGCAAATTTTAACTGAAGGTGAAAAATACGTAATGTCTGTAAGCCCAGTGCTAACCTTCAGTGAACAAGCGACATATGATGTAGTGAATAACCTGGGAAGCTTGGCGGCGCGTTTCATTTTTAGACCCATCGAAGATAGTAGCTACTTTTTCTTTACACAAACTATTGCTCGTGATATTGAACTCCACAAACAAAATCGTGTAAGATTCCATGCATCACAAAAATCTGAAATTATTTTTTCTGATTACAAAATTTATAGGACAACATTTTACAAGCAGCAAAAGTTCTACGAAACTTGTCCTTAGCAGTTACATCCATTGGCTTATTGGCGCTAACTTTTGGTCAAAGTTACTCACATACTATACTTCTATTATATGGCGGGCCTGATTTTGTTGCTGGTGGGCTACCACAGCGGTTGCTGCAATGGCATTGTTTAGCTATATACTTCTTAGCTATTAACGGCATCACGGAAGGCTATATGTTTGCTACGAACACTAGCAAAGATATTGACAAATATAATTATTTAATGGCAGTATTCTCAGTTAGTTTTCTTATACTCTCTTACATTTTAACGAGCTGGTTAGGCCCAGTAGGATTTATATTCGCTAACTGTATCAACATGTTTTGTAGAATCTGCTACAGGTTTGTATACATTACATTCCATAAATTAAAAAAATTTTAATTTTGGCATATTTAGTACACGTTTCATATTTCGACAATACAAGCCAACAGGTTTGAACCCACTGCTGGGCTTGCTCCCCGGAAAATGGTTTGCTATGACCCTTTTGGCAACAGGCACATTTTGTAAATATTTGTCGGTAAGATCATGAAGTAGAAAAAGAGAAAAAATAGCCATTTCGAGAATAAATTATTAATTTATTTATTTTTAGTACTGCTCAACACCAATTTTGGTATTCTTTATATATGGCTTTTTAAGTGTTGTTTGCTGTCTCATTGTTTGGACTATCGAAAACAGTGATCTGGTGAAATTGGCTTGGCGGTATGGACGACGTCTTAAAACTGATTGAACAAAATCGCTAATATATAATTAATTAATATGTAGTGCCTACCTAAGATTTACTACGATCCTAGCCCCAATTTATTTATTGAGAGAAAAATTGTTATTAGTTTGTGTAAATAATATTTTATTATTATTATTCACGTTAAAAATACATCATTAAGCGCACCTGGTTTTGTATGTATGTATGTACCAAAATATATATATGTGCATATTTATTTCGTTACATATAACCATTTTGATTTGATATTGATTTTATTGGCTTCAATTCATTAATTAAAAATAGTTTATTGCGGACTGTGACAGTAAGCGAGTGTAAATTCCTTAAACAAAAATCTTTATTTTTTAGGTCGTAGAATATAATTTCAGAGTTCAAGAGATTTTTATTTAGGCTGTCGCCATTCAGAAAATGGGATGAATGTGTGCGTCTTACGAGGAAACCACAGACGATTTTAGAATGAAATTGTCGCATAATTATTATTATTATCTGGAGCGCTAGTGCTTACACCTTTGGCTCTCTTATAAATATAAACAGTAATGTTAATTAACTATTGTGGTACTGGCTACATGATAACTAACTTTATATTAGAGTCTTCAACTCTGTTAAAATAAGATACTCGTTTATTTTTATTATCGATTCGGCGTCACTCTTCTTCAGGATGCTGGGAGGATTAGTGCTACCAAAGATGTTATGCCTTTTTGCGGAGAATTGTTGGCAAATGTCCAGTAGATGGGTGACAGACACTGAGGCAGCGTTGCAGAATTGGCATGTTGGTGGGCTCAGATCTTTAAGTTGGGAAGTTGGGTTTTTGTCCCTCCGTGTTGATCGAAGAATAGTGGTGGCATGTTTTTCTCCATTCGTCTTGTTTTATTTTAACGATGACTAAATTAGCCAGCCGGTAAACATCTTTGATGATAATATTTAGTGCAGTCGGGGGTGCTTTGCTGCAAGTTTTGCTGTTATATCTGTAGCTTCGTTGCCAGGTATACCCACGTGGCTTGGAATGATTTTGATTTGGTTGTTATCTCTATTTAGAATATTTCGAATTGGTAAAGTTACGCAGTTGAGGGTTGTTATATATTTTATTGCTTGGATTGTGGACATGCTGTCGGTGCATACAATGTATTTACCACCCGTTTGGACTGCGTATTGAATGGCTTGTAATTCGGCACAGGCCTCGGTCGTATAAACAGAACAGAAGTTGAGCAGGTGTCCGATTTTGATGGTATTTAAATCCGAATCTACCACAGCAAACGCAGTTGTAGACGTTGTTTTTGGACCCGTCGGTGTATAGGAACTTCCACCCTTGTTGTTTTAGATCTGCTGAAATACCTTCGAAGGTTTGTCGATATATTGCCGAGGGAGTTGAGCTTTTGTTTTTTAAGTGTCCGGAATCAAGTGTTTCCGTGGTTCGGACCAAGGTACCGGGCGTTTGTAATTGAATTTTTCTGGGTTTATGATTAGTCCTGCACTCGTAGCTGCGTTAACAATCCTCGAGATTGTGGATAGTCGAGATAATGAATGAACTGATCGCATTATATAATATTGCATTTCTGAAATGTAGGAGTTTAGTTACAAAGTTCAGGTGTTGAGAGTTATGCTATCTTTGATTCGCGGGATACCAGCTTCTGTTAGCGCGAATAGAACCGGCGATGTCGGAAAAGCTCGTATGTAACTGCTTACTGTTAGATGATACGGTGGTAGGATGAGTTTGATGTTTTTATTCGCGCAGTGTCCGTAGATAGGCAGGCCGTAGTCAGTTTTAGACAAAATAAGGGCTTTAGTAGCGTTGATGAAAGTTGACTGACGAAGCAGTGCTTCGACGATAAATATATTATTATTGTCGCATACTTAATATTTCCCTTTTCCTTTAAACTTAGTTTAATTTAAATTTAACTGATTTTAAAGTTCATTATAACTGAAAAACTTGTTAAAGGCCAAAGAAGATAAATGTATATCGGGTATCAAATTTTAATTCGGTTATACTAGTGCCTGAAATCGGTATAGGAGATTCATTGTGAACAAGCATAAAAAGAAGAAGGAAGAATACTGAAGCCAAGTTGATTGTGATTTCGATTTTGATGTATATCGGTTTAATTGTTTAAAGTTTATTCTTCTCTACGGAAAAAATTATTTCTCGCAGAAAACTCTCAGTAAAAGTGAGAATTATAATTTAAATTTATGTTTTAACTTGTGAACAGAAAATTTTTCACAAGATACAGAATTCTACTATTTTAGGCAGTACAGAAAAGCGGACTTAATTTATTAAAAGATGAAAAAAGTGGCTCGCTTGCGTATTCCACAGCAGGATGATGGTTCAAGCACAGGAGGTCAGGAACATGTAGGCGTGCGCACTACAGGCCGCATAAAAGTAAGACGTTTGCTGCAAAAACAGCAAGTGCACTCCAAACAATAATATGTACATGCATAAACTATTTGCTTTACAGAAACCCAAGGCAGTATTTGATCCGTCTGACAACTACTTGCCGCGTTCACAGCGCGCCAACATTGCAGCAACAGCTTATTCAAGCGGCACAGGATCACCAGCAAGTGGCACATATAACCAAACAGATCGCAAACGCGATACACCAACGTCAAATTTATTGCAAAGCCAAGACGCGCAACAAAACAAACGACTATCACAATCTTCTACCGCTTCGGGCAGTACAAACGCTGGGTCGACACCTGAAATAGCTACCGCTGATGTTTGTGATGTGTGCCAAAAGCGCGAAGCAAAGCGTGGTACTCACGCCAAGAATAAACTGATTACTTGTTTGCAATGTGAAAGACGGGTGCACAAATTGTGTTTGCCAGTTGATTTCGAGGATGTTGATGTTCTACGTCAATACTACAAGTGCGAAAATTGTCGCAAGTGCGACCTATGTGATGCGTTTGCTGACTGTGAACCAAAAATTAATGTAAGTTCTTAATTTTACTCCCAAAAAAATTGGCCAATTTCATCATTAGAAAAAATTGTTTCTTCTAAAGCAAATCTAAATCTCTATCATATCACTTGTATTTAAAACTTCTAAATGAGCGAAGATAGTGGAGCCGCACGCAAAGCGACTAGCATAGCAGTTGGGTATACAAATCGACCCAGATTTACATATATGTATCTAGTCAGAGGCAGTCACTCCAGTGGCATTTTCCGAGAAATCTTTAGGAAAATTTTATTACCATTAAAATCTTAGTATCGGGTAAAGAGTTGATTGTAACCTAATATTGTCGTACGACCGCATATGGTTAAAACCAAAGTGTAGCTAGCGCAAAACAGCATGCTTTTTCAGCAATTTTTGATACTATTTCCTTTAAAGGTGTTTGTCTTTAAGATATAAACATTAATAATTAAAAATCATATTGATATACATATATACATAGGTACACTGCCGGAACAAAGTATTGGCACGGCAAATTTTTCACAATATATGCAACAATTTTTATTCTAATATTTTTCCGCCGATTTTGTATAAAAGTATGGTTCATTCAACAACAAAAACATAAAAATATAATTCCTAAACTTTGTGCAAAACTGGCGAAAATTCAGCAAATTTTCATCAAAATTTTAAACTTTTTAATCAGATTTTTTAGAATTTTATTTGAGTATGCAGTTTTGTAGCCCATTAAATTCTAGTAAAAAAATGCAAGTTCGGAGTTAGTGAAAAATCGCGTTGATTTTTTAGAACTTTTTTTGTTGAAGGTGTTTTGCATTTGTATGGAAGAGACTGCGTGAAAAAAAAATTGCCAAAAAGCAACGGTAATTCCTAGCTACTTAAAACTTGCACCTTATTATAATAAAATTGATTGGGCTACAAATCTGCATACTCAAAAAATTCTAAAAAAAATCTGATTAAAAAGTTGAAAATAGTACAAACATAATTATTAGTATTCTATAGAATTCTCCATTCCACAAAAACTACGTGAGTTCTACAAATTTTCAATTATAAACAAATCCATTTCTAACAAAAAAATAATTTATGCACATACACATGGCTGCGTTTCTTTATACATTCCGGATAATCCCATTTCACAGCCGGAATAAACAGAATGCGTTTGAAATATAAGTCAACATATCATCAGGGACGTTCTAAAGAATAAATAAACAAAAAAGCTTATTCCAAACGTTCAGAATGAATAAAGAAATGCAGCCATATGTATCTTGAATTGAATTATGCTGGATTTCCACTAGGCATTAAATGGCAAAAATGACAAATGACAAAGTCGGCTATTAAAAAATAATCGTGTGATTACATTAAAAAAATAGTAATTGGATTCATTTCCACATGCCATTTTTTTAAATGGCATACATTTTTTGTCATTTCAATGCCTAGTGGAAATTCGTCATTATGGTTTTTAACCATGTATTACTCATACAATTGCTAATCTCTTCCCGCCGCTCCACTAAGTTCTTTGCATAAAAGATGAAAAATATATAGTAATTTTCCTGTATTTTACTCTAGCAACCAATGGTTACATGTTCTAAATGTGTAAAATCTTACCATCTTACGTGCCACATTCCCAATGTGTACAAATTTCAACAAATTTTTCGCTGGAAATGCAATAAATGCCAGCCGAGCATTAACAATGTTTCTGATTTGCCTGTTAAAACCATACGAGAAATCATTGGTGATGAACCACAGCGAGCGATTCGAACCCAACTGATTCAACAACAGCAACAACAGCAAAATGTAAGCATTGCCGCAGCGGCGGCAGAAGCAAAAAGTACTGCTGCAAAATTGTCACTTCAAGAAACTCAAAAGAACGGCGAGAACGGACAGAAACAAGACAATGGAGGGCCGGAAACGGATGCTAGCTACTTGGAAAGCGGTGGTAGTAGTACAACAAGCAGCAGTACTGCCAGTAGTAGTAGCGAGGAAAAAGTTGCTGACGTCACAGCTTCCAAAAGGCCAAAGCCAAACCATGATGAGACCGTTAATATTACTCCGGCTATACGTTACAGCCCCTATGAACCGATTGATGTACCGGATGTAAAAGACTGGAATGTTGATCAAGTTGCTTCATATTTTGCGAAGTATTTCCCAAAAGAAGCCCACGTTTTTAAGGAACATGAAATTGATGGCACTTCATTGCTATTACTTAAGCGTAGTGATGTTATTAAAAAACTGCCCATTAAATTAGGTCCATCGCTGCGCATATACAGTTTAATACTGAAAATTCAGACCCAATTAAATGATCCCACTTTAGGTTGGAACTGTGGGCTTTAAGTGTAGCGTATAAAAACAACTATATATTTGTCTTTAAACTATTACTAACCAATATTCTATAATTTTTCTACAAATTTCTTGAATTAATATCCGCCTTATTAACGAAGACTCGTTTCAGGTGTTTTTCTTTGTTTGTTTTTTATTAGTTTAATGTTCATTTACTTATGTCCATTCATATATGTACATACATATATATGTATACATATTCCACATGCGCTTCCCTGCAAGAATTTATACCAGCTTAGAAATAGTCACGAGTCTAGATTTGGGTGACGGGTACTGATGCTAGTCCATGCAAATAACTGACCAATTTAACATGGCATAACCTAGGACTGTTTCGAAACCAGTGAACAATTTTCAGTCAATTCGGACTGTTGCGAATATGATTTATTTGGAATACTCCTCCAGTGCATTACCTAATCCCAGTTCGATACTGTTTTGAAAGGACTGCTTTCAGTTATTTCAAATTGGTCGGGAAGGGCGGTATCGAGAAGGTCTATACAAATTTTGCCGGCGTGACGGGACAAAATTCCATTCTGACACTCCCGATAAAACCGCAAACTTAGAAAATCTTCCTCAAAATCGATGTATGTATGAAATATGCACTTTTTATGTTTTATTGAAACGAAAAGGAACAGCAGCACAGCAAAACAAAATAATCGGAAGATGCTAGATCTTTCATTATATTTTTTATTTTTTAAAATTCATTTGAAAGACATGTGCATTTTTCTTAATGATAGATCTCGTGACCGGCGGTACAATCCTGTAAAACGTCGGGATGGCCAGGTTCGGGACTTAGAAATTGAATTACAGGATGAGCGGTATCGGGATTAAATATTTACTCCCGTGCCCATCTCTAAACCGAACTATGTATTTACTCTAAATAAACTAAAAATTTGATACCAGTTGCTTCTTGCAGGGCGACGTCAGCTCGGCATATATACACATATGTATGTGTGTATGTAGTAGTTACACGCGATACGGCACCGTTCTGAAAAGCGGCAGTATAAGATGTTTGCAAGAATTGAATTTGTAATCATTTTCAGTGTAAAATCAATGAGAATAAAAATTACTTTAAAACTACAAAAAAAAATTGTTATTTAATAATTTGGATCAAATACGATTACCAATACATAGAATATTAAAAAATTCTAGAGCTAGTAGAACTATTTCTGACCACACTGTAGGCAAGCGATATTTTGAACATTGTGCTGTTTTTTATCAGCAGAAAACTGAATTTAGAGTAGCAAACCCTGCTTTGTTTCATCAAAACCAGATTCATGAACCTATTAAAATTCTTGCGCGTAGTTTTTAGCGATTGGGGATGTTTGGCGAAATAGAAGCCTGAAAGTCCCCATAAAGCTTGTTGTGGAGTTGTAACTTAAAAAACCGTCTGTCTTCGCCATTAAATAAAAAACTCAAGATGTCAGCGGCTGTGTGTTCTATGTTTGAAGCAGTACATTGGGCCCTATGAATAAAAATAAGCAATTGCTTTTTCTTAAAATTTCAGATCTTTTACTCAATTTATCCAAACAAAATTGAAGTATGAAATTTTAAGAAAAAGCAATTGCTTAGTTTTTATTCATACGGCCCATTAATAGATTGGTGGACAACGATTCATCATGGAGGCAAATATATAAATAAAAAAATGTAAATATACATATCGTCGATGTTTTTGCAAAACCGCCCATCGACCAATTGCAAAACACAACAACGATATAAATTCATTAAATCTTAAAACTCACAACTGCCTCCACAGCGATTTGAACTCGCGACCAACGCTGATCTACTTTCACATTGTAAGAGAAGTTAGAATTTATATACTTACACCGTAAATTTCAACTGTCCCGCTCTACATCCGTTTTGCACTAGTTCTCAAAATTCGGCGTAAAACTGTAGGTCCCTCCTCTTCGTTTGACAACATCAAGGCGCACGCTACAAATCGGAGGAGAAGCTCGGCCAAAGACTAACATGTGTGTAAGCGTCAATCTATTATAATAATAATTATTATTACTATCTAGGCAATTGAGCAGACGGACGTAGACCCGAAAAAGGCGGGGCTTAGTAGTGCCGCTACAACAACAACAACAACAGCAGACGGAGCGAATAATTGTACCTGCAAAATATATTCATCTCGGTTGTTTTTATAACAAATTTTATTTTATACATCAGACTTAGTATATTTTAAATAAAAACATTCATACAATAATTAGAAATTCAAATATATTTGAGTAAATGTTTAATTTAATTAATTAAAGAATAAGCTTAGGTCACAAAAAGTTTTTAAACAAGAATAAAACTTTCGTAAACAAGTAAACCTTATTCTTCGCGATTTTAATAATAACCCTTTTAAGTCTAAATCTAACCAATATCAATATTTAAGTATGTAGTAAATACTGTAAATAAATTTTTAAAATCGATTTTTCTGTCAAACATCAGCAATTAAACTCTGGGTAAAAGTTTCTCCTCATCTTCTGATTTCGTATCATTCTTTTGGGCAGATGCGACTGTCGTCTGCCTAGAGCTTGCAGCTGATTTTTTAGGATCATAGCCGTACAGGAATATGGATGCGATTACTAGTCCCGCACCCACTGCAAAACGCGTTGTTAATTTAAAGTCGAAAATATAGATTGAAGCTATACACGAAACGACAATAGCTAAAGAGGTGGCGAAACCTTTTAATATGTTATCTGCATACTTGACTACGACGGCAACAATTAGGCCACCGCCGGCCTGTAGAAATATCAAATACCAAATGAATAAATCATAGCCATAGAAAAATCCGACACTGGCAATTTGTCGCCCATCGTTAATGAAGCAGGTTAGCAAGCCAAATGGTATACTAAGCAAGCTGAGTTGAACGTTGCGCATCCATACGGATATGTCGGCACCTTTAAGAATTTTTTCGAAATAAATTCCAGCGAAGCCAGACAGAAAACAAGCGCCAAGAGCTGCCCACAATCCAAGTAAGCGATTTTGTTCCGGTCCAGTTGGTGGTGCGCTTCCTACATTATCGTCCACTGTTTGCGCTAATTGCACCGTTACAACGCCTGCAATAAGTAACACTAATGCGCCCCATTGTGTATGAATCAGCCGTCGACGTAAAATAAATACTGCAAACATTGCAGTAGTGAGAATCTTCAGTTGATAGGTTACTTGATAGGTCGCCGCATCCAGATGCGAGGCAGATACATATAGCAAATTATTTTGTACAATATATACTAGAGAGGGGACGCACACTTTCAAAGTGTCGACCGGATTCGCAATAATGGTTTTGTGCAAAGTTCGTACAAATTTTTGCGCGTCCTTACCCTCTTCATTGAAGACTAACACAAGGCAAGTGAGCAGTTTGACCAACTCGGACATAAGCACAGCTAAAAAAAAAAACGAAAATATTCGAATATATTAGAATAAATTAGGCTCTATTACATGGCCTTGCCACTTTAAATATGTATGTATGTATGCACGTGTCGTGTTGCAAGTGAGTGCATGGTGTTCTTTTTGTTCAATATTTGCAAGGTTTTTTTTTTTTATAAAAATATGGTTCATGCCAATGCACATTAAACAGGTAGTATCAGTAGAGCAAAAACAACATTNGGATAAATTCAACAAATTTTCACCTAAATTTTGAACTTTTTAATCTGAATTTTTAGAAACATTTTGGGTACGCAGATAGATCGGTTATGTAATTCTAGTGAAACAAGTGAAGGTTTTATGCTGCTAAATTGTGGTAAAAATACTTAAAAATTGCAAAATAAATAAAAAGACTTCAATAATGCAAAAACAATTGTTATTTTGTTCGAAAATTCAAATATCCGGTTAATATCCGTTTATTTTGTTATCCGGGTAAACGGATTTTCGTAATTAGAAATTCGAATATCTAAAATGTCCGTATAGTTAAAAATCCGGATAGAACTCCCAACCCTAACAAACATGCATGCATGTCGTAATGTGCGATGTGAGATATGTACTCGAAATTTATGTATATAACAAGTGCTGCTAAAAGCAAAAATAGGTACCTATGTCCTCTTCTGATTAGAAACAGGAAATGTTTCTTATCAGCAAAGCATTTTGATTGCGATTACGCATATGCCGCGCTTCGCGTAAAAGAATCAATGAATCAAAACAATAAAAAAACAAAAAATATTTAGTAATGTTTTACTAAATTCAGTTACATATGTATCTACCTGTGGTGCTTATGAAAATTTCACCGGGCCGTGTACGTGCATATCGCATACTAAGTCCAAGTATCGCATTTTGCAATGTTAATGTGATTAAGCTGATGTATTTCAGCGTGTTGGCGTTTACTAAAAGACAGAATTTTGTAAAGATATTTGTAAATAGTGAACAATGCGGAAGTACCCACATCCGTTTCTTATGTATTGACTTACCGTGTATATTCATGGCAGTTGTTGGAATAGAATTTGAGGTCATGGAAGTATGGCTAGGAATTAACACTACGACCGATGAACTTCCACCAAGCCCTTGACCACGTCCAAAAACCTGTAAATAATCAAATACGAATTGCAATTTTTAGTATATACGATCCATACTGTTTATATCTTCTAATTTCTGCCCGATATATCTTCGTTTAGTTGGTTGCTGTTAGCACAGCAGAGCAGACACGTAAACAGAAAAATCACCTGAAGATAAAATGCCGCAAAAGCAGCGCATACAACACAGTACAACAAATAAAAGGGAAGCGAAGAATGCTGCACATTGCTCAGTGGCAAAGCGCAAATTGTGGGGAGTAAACAAACAAGCACAATCTTCGCTGATTAATAAAATAACCAACGGCGTTGCATTTTTTTGCAGGCGGCCACTTTAGTGAACAGGCTTTCTATAAGGGTCAATAACATTTTAAATATTTTTTGTTTTTTACTAGGAACAAGCTATGCAGGAAATACATATATTTCCTTGTACGAAAGTTTACAAATCCATAATAAAGTTAAGCTATTATATAATAAGCATACATACATACATATGTATCAGTATGTACTTACATCCTCCATCGCCTTTCCCATTTTGCTGAAAAGCTCTTCGGCCGTTGTACGTTTTTATACGGTATAGGTACCTCTGTTTAAATATGCCACTTTCCCTTTTTACTTCCGTAAAAATCTTTATCTATAAAATAATATATGTATATATATATATATGTATTTGACTGCGCTTTCGTGCGCCCTAAGCGAAACTGAGCCATTTTTCAACTACTGCGCCAATCCAAACGCCACATAATATTTAATCAAGTGTTTCTTGGGAGCATTTATAAAAAGCGAAAAATGCTAATCTACACAATTCCATGAACGTTTATCAGTATATTATCTTGAAGTAGATACCTTTGTATGTGTGTTTAACACTGATACCTGTTATTGTTTGTGTAGCTCTCTTTAAAGTTCAAGTTAAAGAAGCAGTTGCTATAGTTTAGTGTTCTAGTTACCGACAACTTTGCTTGCTTCTTTCGCTTCGGAGGTTTAACCGAATACTTCGACGAATCGACTGATGAAACCAGCCAACAAAGGAGAATCTTATCGGCCGATAACACTTCTCTCCCCGGTAGCGTAGACACTATAGGCTCTGCTGCTCCCGTATTTCACGAACCACCTGACCCCAGCGAAGCATCAGCATATTTTCCGTAAAGTGCACAGTACAACAACAGCACTTAATGCCATAAACACTCCACGCTACTAGAAGACATAGAGGCTTCCTCTCTCCCACAGAGGCTCAAACTGTTGTCGGCGAATTATCTGAGTGGTCGACACTCGTCGGTAATGTTTAGAGACAAAACGAGCAAACTTAGAAAAATAAAACAGGGGGTTCCACAGGGTGGTGTCCTTTCCCCGCTACTATTTAACTGTTACATTTCAAAGCTCCCTCAACCACCAGAGGGAGTCTCGATTGTCTCTTTCGCCGACGATTGCTCGATCATGGCGACTGGGAATGGAACTGATGACCTGTGTTGGAAAGTAAACGGGTATCTCTCCGAGCTTTCTCGCTTCTTCACTGCAAGCAGTTCCTTGTTGGGAGCCATGGACGTGCTCACCCTAATGGGCAGCTGCTTGCACAAGGGCATAATAAAGGAAAGCTGAAACAACATAAAAATAGCGTACGTTACTTGCAAATTATAAAATAAATATAAGATTTAAGAATTTCAGCAACACACAAAAATAAAGCTTTCGCACGAGCGTTTGTATGGGTTTTCAACTGTCACAATTTTACTTTGCATTTGGCACAGCAAAATTCAATTTATGTGTACTACACCATAGCAAATTTTTCCACCCCGTCTCACCACGGAGAACGAATTGAAGCATCACAAAAACATGGTAAGTATTGCGAACCGCGATGCAGACTTCAAAATTTCTAAAGCGCTGTTTATACTTGCATTTTACTGCAGCGCACAACATGAGTACTGCCACATATGGAATCTGTTTAAAGAGCTTTGCATACAAGCGATTATCCGATGCAGATCATGACCGGGCATGACAGCGAAGTCTGGACAATTTAGATTTTTCGCTATATGACATGTTCCAAGAGTGGCTCCGCACTTATTGCTCTCATAAGTCTGTTCCAGTACCCATCAGAAATCCTGCAGAACTGGAACAGACTAACTGATTACACCGAACAGCTGGTTCTTGGAGTCTATGCGTTCCATGCCGAGTATAATTACACCACAGCTTCACATGCGCTGCTTCTCTATGCCCTGCACTTGCAATGTAAGAATAACCGCGCTTAAATATTTTGCGATCCGCACCACGATCCATCAATATTGCATGCTAACACCGCACTAAATACTTATCGTGTGATAGGGCCCATATAAAAGTGAAGAAACAAAGCTATTATTAACAGCTGGCCTCTGAACTTGGCATTTTGTGGGGTTTTGCTTAAATTTTATTCAACAATTTAAAAATCTATAATTTCCTGAGAAAATGAATATAACAAATACAGAGGAATATTCGGTAATCCATTACTTATAAATAATAAATGGTATTTTGTGTATACATACATGACCTTTGTGTTTTACCTATAGAATCCGGAGAAGAAATCGCTTGACAAGCTTTTATTTCGGTTATCGGCTGAAGATGGATTACCACCTCAAACAATTCCTGCTTTAGTAATACCATACCAATATTTTAAATTGCTTTATGATAAATTCCTTCTAAATTTCACATATTTCTAGCACAAACACTGGGCACGACGGGAAAATTTTTGTACATATGTAGGACTAATGACACAATATGGTCGCGTTAAAAGTGGCGTAGAACTAGAGGAATGGCAGTACAATGCAAACCTATTTTCCAAAGATATGAATTTCTTGCTAAATTGCCACCATCATGAGTAAGTGAAGTGTGATTTCTAGTTAAGATTAAATAAATTGGCTGGTTTTCAGATTTTGGTCATATATGGTTTTTCAAAAGACGGCATTAGCAGCCGTTGTTTCGTTTTTACAAAAATCAACACCATTTTATTTAAACGTTTGGTCACAGCTCGTTCAACAAAAAACAATTATCGAACTTTATGAACAAATACTGGAACTGGTACTCCGTATTGTTTGTCGTCTTATAACCAATCGCGAGTCTGATGAAGCCTGGCTTACTATTGACCATCAGCGGGAGTTAATTTATAAAAACTTTTTAATATCAGTACCAATGTTATTCGACATCCTAATGGCTGTGGGAGATGCGGATGCCCAAAACACTGCCGTACTCCGACGTATCTTTGATTCACTCCTACGCATTGAACCCAATTACAAACAGGATCTTCTAGCCGCGTTAGCATTTTTTCGCACCGCTTTTCGTAGCATTCAAACACAGGCAGAAAATGAGGGCTTCGAAGGCGCAGGAGGAGGTGACTTAGATGAAAGTGCCGAGACTCCGTACGACGATGTTGCGCTCTATACCTTAGATTGTGCCTATTCATTGAGTGTTCTATTAGAAGTTTGTCCAACAGTCCAGTCCATTTGTGCTGAAATTAAATTGGGGCAGAGGTATATACAATAATAAAAATCATGTACATATGTACGTACTTGTTACTGTTATTTTTTATTTTATTTATTTTAGTATTGCACAGTTCTATGATAACACGGTTCCTTTTTTGTACAAAAACGTATTTCTTATTAATGAGGCCGCTGCTAGTTTAGGCTGGATCAATGTGGCACGATTACAATATCTAAAGGCATTTCGAAGTATTGCCTACAGTTTCATTGAATCAGTCCTGGCGAAACCGTAAGTATAATGATTTATGTTATTATGTATGTAATATAGAAAGGCCCTACATCCTTTTTGATTGATTATGATGCATTTCATCAAATTATGTATCCACATCGTTTTATGCAATAAAAAATTTTAGTTACGGCTTGTTTGGATTATAGCGACGATGTGAGATAGGCCCTTTCTGTAGTAGGGTATAAGTACATTGATACATATGTGTGTATAATTTTTTATTTTTATTTTTTGATATTCTGCAAAGTTTGCAAATTAACCCAGAAAAAACAGCGAAAAAGCCTTGTTCCTATTCAAGAGCATGAAAGTGTATGCATATACGCATACATATCTGTGCCGTTCAATTAAAGTAGTCTGAGTCGTGAAAGGCCATTTTCCCTGTAAAGCAACATTTCATTGGGTTTCCAAACAATATTTTAACGTTTAATTAGCCACATGTGTAGTTCCAGATGCCCTTTTAATAGAAGCTTAACAAAAATATAAAAATTTTCAAGGGAAACCGATTATTTTTTAATTCAAAGTCAAACCGTCTAAGCAGGGCTTCGGAGCAGAGTTTTTTTCTATCGCTCCAAGCTCCAGTATTTTATTTCGCTCCGAGCTCCGCACCCGCTCTAAATAAAAAACTTTTACTATATATTTAATTATCTGACATTTTTTCCCAATTTTATTTTTGATGCAGAACATAGATATACAGCTACATATTGGGTAGGTTCAGAAGGCGTGATAGGAATGCATCTTCTAAACGGCTTGATACATTATCTGTCAAATTCAAAACACATAACATGTTGTCTCAAATTATCAGAAATATATTACGATCATCTAACACGCAACTGTTCAGTTGATCAGAAGTACAAAACAACGCGTTCAGAAGGTGCAATCGCAACAGTTACTGAGCTGTTGCGCTTTCTGAACGTGCCCATTTCTTTGTGTATTTTGTCATGTAAATAAAATGGCAGATATTAATCCAGCCCGGAAAAATCCGAAAAAAAGAAAGTGGAGGAAATGCGGATTTTTGTCCGTTTACCGATTCCATTTTGGGATACTTTGACGATCTGTTTTTCTCCTAAAGAGTGCGGCAGAAATATATATACAGTAAAGGCATGAACCAAAAATACAAGATCACGCGGGCAGGAGAGTAGCCCGTTAGAATCGCATTTAGGAAAATAGTTTAACGATTTTGACATTAGCCGTTTGTTTACATTTCTTCGTTGTTTACAATTTGGTGGGTGCTTTTTACTGCAACCCTGCAGGAAATTTAATTAGTTGGAAAGTAATTTATAAACTATTTTATTTTCAATGATAACTAATTGAAATTCTTACTATTTTACCTGCAACGAACTCATTTAANCTGCAACGAACTCATTTATTTATCATGGCGATGTCCTAGGAAGCAGTCAATTGCCTTTTCCTGCATGTATTTTCAACAACTTTAAAATGAATTCGGCTTAAACAACTTCAAAGTCAGTATGTTTCGTTTGAATACGCTTGCGTTCTGGACTTCACAGATGCTTTTTCATAACTAAGAAAACCCGAAATTAAAAATTTAAAATTAAATGAGATTTGAACATGGACATTCTTGGCTACGACCAATTGTAGCAAACATCTTTGCACGCTCAGCTCCAGCCAGACATGTAAATGTGCTTTAAAATGATCAGTTTGAATTGTGTGCAAACAGCAAGTTGACTGTCCGACTCTGCATTTAATTTCAACTACTTTAAAATGAGTTTGGTTTACACAACTTAAAAGTCAGTATGTTTCTTTTGAATACGCTGGCGTTCTGGACTTCACAGATGCTTTTTAATGCTTCCAAGACACAAATTGTTTTTTTTGAGCAAAAGAGTATAAAAATTCGAGACATTTACTCATTGCATTTGTTTTAAAGTAGTCTTTCAATTAGTTGATTTAAAAAAATAATCACTTGTTTCCGTCAGGGAATTTTCTTCATTTTCGCCTGTGACAACGTGTGTTCACATAAGGTAAAGAATAATTTAACACAACACACAGTGGCCAATTTTTGGAAAACCCTGGCCAAAAGTAAAAAAAAAATTGGTGCATTCGTATGCATAACCATCTGATATTCAGCCTCATTGCGTAAGTCGTAAATTAGGCTCAATTGTACGACTCGACAATATTGGCATTGTATACAGCCGTGCTGAAATAAGTAAACGACGAAAATGGTCGTAAACTATACAGTGCTGCCAAGTTTTCTCACTTTAATACACTAGTCGAGTGGAAATTTTAGGCAATGGCGTGAAACTTAAGATACGATTCGACTTTCGAAAAACGACTTGCATTCGACACGGCTCCCGCAATGAGGGCGATTGTTAGGAGGGCTCTACTGCGTATCGTTATGAGACAACAAGTCGATT